CTTTTTTCATACATACATTTTATTCATGCACAACATATCAGGCAAACACTAAGTCTCATTTTCAAATTTCTATTTCTATCTAATTTTAATATCGCTGACCTCAGAGTAAGAATATCAAAGTTCGATAGTTTTACGCATCAATAAATTCGTACTTCTTATGGTTTGACCTAAATTTGCAACTTCATATCGATATACATCAGCAGATTTTTATATACTTAATTCCACCTCATCCGAAATTTTTAATCAGAAGATAAAATTTCGGATGAAATTTACTCTCTAAATTCAGCTGTTTTCTTTTTCGTTTACTATATAAGTAACTGTCTAATTAATTCTATTCTAAAAATTAATTGCTTGAAACTTTTCGAGCTATTTGTAATTTGTAAATAAATTGAAATTTAATTCAAAAAAAAAATATAATAATATTTCTTTGATAACTTTATGATATATCTTAACAGATTGATAAGAAGTAGAAGGAATGTAATTGTGATTATCATAATTAATGAAATTCATATAAAACCATCATACCTTTTTATTTTGTACTTTATATAATTTTTTTGAAAAAATAAAAACTGAAAAGAATTGAAAATAAAATTAAAAAATCTTTTATAAACAAATAGAGCATTTATTCTTTCAAACAATAATTATTAATTAATTTCTATTTATTATTGTTTTTTACCTTTTCAAAAAAAAATTTTACGGCAAATAAAAAAAAGAATGCAAAAATGAAAATTAAGCCTAATTATCATTTTATATTGCATTTATTCAAAACAAAAATAATTTCGCTAAAAATTTCAACAAATGCAATATTTTCAACATATTACGAACAACATTCAATAATAGTGTGTAATTCGTTTTTTTGTGTTAAGAAAATGAATGAATGAATTACTGATAAGAATAAGTGTTAATTTTATTTATCGAATGATTAATGCATGCAGGTAAGATAACCTGTAATGCATAATATGACATGCAACATTTTACTGCATAATTATATTTTGCATGATACAATTACACTCAAAATGAAGTGATGCTTTTAAAGTGAAAATTTTTCATAAATGACGTCATAAAAAATAAATTTATAGATTTGATGAGATGAAAATAAATACGATTGTAAAATGCATTGAGGGATTGAATTAAGTTGACAAATATTCATTAGATTTAGTTTGTTCCTATTTTACATATTTCAAAATTTCAATAGGTTAGTAAATAATTATGTTAATTTTTATAGTATAGCGAATATATATGTTGACAATAAAATTATATGAAGTGATAGATTTGTTTAATAAATGTGAAGAAGAAAAGGGATTAGTAATAATGTAAGCATAATGAAGGAATAGAACTGATTATCATAGGAATAGCTTTGATTGATAATTTATTTGATAAAAGAATGAAACGAAATGATTTTCGTTAAGCGCATGATAAAATATGGTAAATGTAAAATTATCATGATATTAAATTAAATAAAAATTTCAAATTTTTTATTGGGAAAATTTAAAAGATTTCAGTAATAATGATGAAATTAATTTTATGATAAAAATGATATTAGAAATTATAGATTAGCATAGCGGGCGAATCTATATCGGGAGAATCTAAAGCGAATCTATACCGGGAGAATCTAAAAGGCATAATTGTTAATATTTGTGAAATGGAAAATTCTAAAAAGAATAATTTTTGATGTCAATGAATTTCTCGATTATTATCATAACTATTATTATCATTATTATCGTCATTATCATCATTACTATTATTATTAAATTATTATTATTAATAATTATTATTGCTAATATAGATAACACTAACGATAATCTGTTTTTAGTAGTAGTAGTAGTAGTAGCATTTTACACTTCAAATTTGCTTTCAATCTAATAAGAGTTTTAATGATAATCGAACAAGTAGTGATAACAATATAGATAACACTAATGATAATCTGTTTTTTTTTTTGATGAAAGTATAATAATTCTAGTGATTATGTATATATTTCAGGTGGGCGATGGTTATTAGGAATGACTTTATGCCATATGTTCACAACAGCGGATATAATGCTCTGTACATCATCAATTCTAAATCTTTGTGCAATTGCATTGGATCGTTACTGGGCTATTCATGATCCAATTAATTATGTTCATAAAAGGACACTGAAATTTGTTTGTCGAACAATTGCTGTGGTAATATAGTTATTTCATTTATATTTATATTTATTTATGAAAAATTTATACCACAAAATGATAACTAAATTATCAGTAAATTAATAATTTCAAATTAATTATTTAATCAATTAATGTTTTTTTCCTTTTTTTTTTTTAAAGTGATAAATATTATTTCAAAATAATTTTTTACAACTATTAAACAATAACATTTATATCAATCATTAATTTCAAATATCATTTCCAAAATATTTTATCGAATTTATAAAATTAAATCAATTTTTAAATACTATTTTCTTCCTTCTCTCTTTCTCTCTCTCTCTCTCTCTCTCTTTCTTTCTTCCTTTCAATTTCAATAGTTGAATTTTTCACGAAAAGAAATAATTATTATCAATTATTTCTTGGAATTGTTGTTTACAGGTTTGGTTAGCAAGTGCATGCATTAGTGTGCCACCAATAATTGGTTGGAATGATTGGTCAAGTGAAAGTTTAAAAACATATTGCGAATTAACAACTGAAAAAGCATTTGTTGTTTATTCAGCTAGTGGCTCATTTTTTGTGCCTCTTGCTGTGATGGTTATTGTTTATGTTAAAATATTTCTTGCTGCACGACATCGAATTAGGAAAAATTGGAGTTTGTTTTGTTTATTTTAATTAGTTTATGTTTATTTAAAATGTGTTGAAAAAACGTTGCAAAATTTTAAATGAAAAAATTTTTAATTATTTAAATTTTTAAAAATTTTTAATCTTTTTCAATTTTCAATTAATTTCTATGAATGCTAATATTATAGCAATTTTTTTTTTTATAAAATATAAAATATTAAATATTAAAAATTTTCGAAAAATTCTAATATGATAGTTTATATTTAGCTCGAAGTGCATTATCTGAGGGAAATAAATTTTTATCCAAACGACCACAAGTATGCAGTAATAATCTTCAAGCATTCGATAATTCAGTTCTTGTTTCAATTGAGAATTTTAGTGAACTTCATGAAATGGTATGTTAGTAAAAATTTTATGCAAATTAACCGAAAACAAAAACAAAAAATTAATTAATAATCTTCTAATAAATCAAAAAAATTTTTTTAGTATTAATAAATTTAAAATATTTTATAATTATTAGTCATATAAATTTTCCATAAAATATTAAGTTCTAATTTATCCTAAAATATTTATTGAATTACTAAAATAATAAACAATAAGAAAATTAAATATTTGTTGTATGCAAATTTTATAAACAAATTCATACAATTCAATGAAACAATTTAGAAAGGTATGAGAAAACGAAGAAAGGAAATGGTAAAATTTTAGAAAATTTCATGAAATATACTGTAGGCTGGCTGCTACATAAAGTAGTCATACTTATAGCAATGATATTTTATTGAGTAATTCATGGCTTGCTGTGAAAATATTTAACAATGAAGCAATTGTTATTAATAATTTTATAAAGAATTTCAATTCAATTACTTAATGAGAAAATAAATTCAATTTGTTTCTTTTCATAGATAACTTTGTATTGCATTCATTACGGCTGGCAATAGAATAAGGAGGAAGAAAATATACTTTTTCAAGTTACTGAAATGAAAAAATTCAATTCTTCTATTAATAATAATAACTGATAATAATAGTAGTAAATGATAATGAAAATAATAATTGATAATAATAATAATAATTGATAGTGATAATAATAATTGACAATGATAATAATAATAATAATTGATGATAATAATAATAATAATTGATAATAATTAATAATAATAATAATAATTGATAATGGTTACAATAATTGATAATGATAATAATAATTGATGATGATAGTAATAATAACAATTGATAATGGAAACAATAATTGATAATAATAATAATAATAATTGATAATGATAATAATAACAATAATTGATAATAATAATAATAATAATAATAATTGATAATGATAGTAATGATAATAATTAATAATAATAATTAATAATAATAACAATAATAATAATAAATAAATAAGTAATAAATACTTTGAATATTTTTTTTGATGAAACATATATCAATTAATTAAAGAGATTAATCTCAGAATTCAAGAAGATTTAAAACTATTAGTTGAAGTAGCATAAAAATAACTTTTTAAAAATTTAATTTAATATTTTTCTATTTTAAAGGATCGAGCTTCAGCTGCTATATCACAACGTGCACAAATTATTGTATCGAAGGAAAAACGTGCAGCAAAAACGATCGCTGTTATTATTTCTGTATTTTCATTTTGCTGGCTTCCATTCTTTTCCGCATATGTTATATTACCATTTTGTAATTCGTGCTATATACATCCAAAGGTTAATTTATTTTTTATTTTAATTTAAAATTTAGGAATAAAATTTGTTAATAGCTTATTTTGTTGAGTGAAAAGTTAATTATGGAAAAGTTGAAATTTTGTTGTTTGTTTGTTTGTTTGTTTGTTTGTTTGTTTGTTTGTTTGTTTGTTTGTTCTTGTCGAAAATAACAATAGCAACAATATATTTTTTGCAAATTATTAAAATTAATTTAATCATTTGTTCAAAATTGCCTGATATAAGAGTGTAAATTTTTGTTTAAATTCATTTAAACAATTTAATTAACAAAAAAAAAAACTATTTTAATTTCATTATGAAGTTTTTGTTTTAGAATTTCAATTTTATTTTATCATCTAATTTTGGTGTTTGTTTATTTGTTCAGTTTTTTTTTTGCAATTAAAACTATATAAATTAATTTTGCAATTTTATAACTTTAAGAAATGAGGAGGGAAAATGTTCATTAAATTTTACTAATTATTATCATTAATAAATTTAATTTAATTATAGATTATGCAAGCATTTGTATGGCTCGGTTATATTAATTCATCGCTCAATCCATTTCTCTATGGCATATTAAATTTGGAATTTCGTCGAGCATTTGAAAAAATTTTATGTCCCAAATTGTCATTTTTCAATCGTAGGAATAGAAATATATAATAATAGGCTATTAATATTTATTCATTATTATTTGTATCAATTTAGATAATTTTAATTGATTATCATGATATCATATTATATCATCTTTTTGTTATCACTTAATTTATTTATAAATTGCCTTAATATAATTGTTTTTTTTTAATTAATTTTATTTGAATTTAGCAATATTAATTTTAGTAATAAAAATTAATTATTTGTATAATAAATGATAATTTATGATTAAATGATAATTTATAATTATTTTAATATAAATTAAAACAGATAAAAGTTGAATTCCTTTATAATCATTTTCCCTTTTTCTTTTTCTTACGAAATATAGTAATTAAAAAAAATTTTAATTAAATTAATAAGCATTGAATGTAATGTATAATAATGAATAATAATACTTTAATAAAATAAAATTAAAATTGGAAATATATTTCTAGGATATAAATTTTGATAAAACATGCATATTTTTGATAAATAAACAAAATTAGCTTGCAACAAATATTTATCTATTTTTAAGCATAACAAACTAAATTCTAGCGATTATGATAGATTTATTTAATTCTAATTTTCAATTCGAATATTTTGTTTGAAGGATTAAATAAGATAAAATGAAATTTTCCCATTAAATTAGAATTAGAAATTATTAATTAAAATGTTAAAATAGAAAATGAACATATTTCATTACATGTAATCCGACAATTAAATATAATTATATTTGAAATTGAATTAAAAAATTTAATTAAAAAAATTTTAATTAATATTAATTCAATTTAATTCTTATTATTATGATAAGCTAATTTATACAATAAATCATTATTACCTTAAATTATATCATTCTTTTTCTTCACAAATTCAGAGTAGTAGTTGTTATATTTTCAAATTTTAAATATCAATTAAAACATATTGAAATTTTCTATTAAAATTTATAGCAGTCATTCAAAAAATTTTATATGATGATAATGATGATAATGAGATATCAGAAGAACAAATAGGAAAATAATTAGTATTAGAAATTTGAAAGAATTAATTTAAACATTTTCAAATATTTCTCAAATATGCTAAAAGAATAAATTTCTTATAAAAATTAATGCAAAATTAATGAATAAATTAATGAATTAAAATAAATTAATGAATTAATTAATGAAATTAAATTTCTTATAAAAATTAATCTTTTTTGTTTGTTTTTATAAAATACTCGAAAAAAGAATAAACAATACCATTTTTATGCTTTCATATTAAAATGTAATGTTATTTTGTTAACTCTATTCATGGATCAAATAAATAAATAAATAAATAGTGAAATGATGAAAATTAAATTACAAAATAGAATAATTAATTAATTCAACAATATAGAAAAATAAAACTTCGGATTAATATTTAGTTAATAATTAGTAAAATTAATTTTTCCCATCATATGATATAATCAAAATGATATCATTTTAAAATGAAGATAATAATAAGAAGTTTGGAGACGAATGATCAATTTTACTTCATTGTCGAAAGAAGTATGGAAACGAATCCTTTTAAATTAAAAATTCATTAATGCTCGTCTATCGTAATTCATCAAACTTCAATCATCCATTTTACTTCATTGTCGGAAAAAGTATGGCGATGAAACTTTTTTGACGAAATGAATCATTTAGTCATTTATTTAAGCAAAGTTATAATTAGATATTGTATCATGTAAATTATAGATTTAAATTGAAAAATATTAAAACCTCATAATTCCTTTTTTTCATCTTATCTTATCAAATACATATCTTCTTCTTTCATATTACTTTATGAACATTATATTAATTAACCGAAATTTCATTGATAGGAATTAAATTTGATAAATTTACTTTCCAAATGACAATGATATGGCAGTGATTATTCTGATCAACGCTATGATGAATTAAAAATGATTTAATCAATAAAATAAGGAATCATTTTGATAAATTTAAAAGTTAATTGTGATAAGCAAAATCGGAATAAAATAAAGTAATAATAATAATAATGAAAATAAGCAACATATTTCTAAACAATAACAAATGAATAATGCAAACATATGTTGTTGAATGAAATATGTTTCACATAAATATCGGTTATAAACAAGTATTGAGCTAATTATTGAAAGGATAGAAGAAAGAAAAGATGAAAGCTCATCAAATAACAATAATTCGATCTTATCATTCATTATTGGAAATTAGTATGATTAAGATGATAACAATAAGCTTTGTAAATAATGATATATATATATATATATTCATTTCCTATCTTTCCGGATCAAATTAACAACATATATGATGACCGGAAAAAAATCAACGGTTAGAAAAATCGGTAAAATAGCAAAAAAAAAGAAAATCCGAAAGATGAAATTTCCTCATCAATCCAATCATTCAAATAATAATTTAACATCAATTTTCGATTTTTCTTTTGTCGAATATATCAAATCTGACAATATGCTATTAATGAATGATCAATGAAGAAATTATCACAGACAAATAATTCCTATATAAGTTATTCATTTATACAATGATAACATAACAAATTTTTTTTTTTTGCAAAAAATAGTAATATAGAAATTAATTAACAATAAGTAATCTTTTATCAACCTTTAATGATAAGAAAATACTCAAATAAATTATACATTATAAATTATTTATGTAATCATGAAGCAAAGTTGTTAAATTTTCGTATTATCATTATCTTCGCTAAATAATTTCGATATGGAAATAATTAATTTAATTATTATATGTTTTAATTTTTAATTTTCAACTATAATTTTTCAATGAAACAACTTATCTTTAATGATAATTTGATTGCTAAAAATATTTTGTTACGTATGGAATGAATGTAAAAATTGATAATCTTTATTGTATCACGGAATGTTCATAGTTAAAAGAATGCTGAAAATGTAAAACAAATTTTAACACTATCACAAAGTCTATCAATCATTGATTAATGAATGAATCTATCCAATATCTTTCTTTCCGAAGAGATCAAAAATTTTCAGGATTTGCTTCAAACAAAAAAAAAAACTTAATCATATCTAATCTTTTCAATTCATCGTGATGACAAATGCAAATGTTAATAATAAGCCTATATATAATTAATAACCAATAATAATAAGCCTATATTAAAATAGCCAATTTCTCTTTGTTAGATACATTGAAAAGTGTGGCAGCAAAACAAAAGAGTGAAATTATTTCAAAAAAAGAAAAAGAATTAATACAACAATATGTAGCAAATGAATAAGGCAAATTTTTAAAAAAAGACATTTCGATTAAATTTGTAAAATCTTATACCATAAAAGAGAAAACTATAAATTACTTTGTTTTTGCAAATTTAATGCTTGTTGTACATAATTTGCAACATATTCCGAAGTACCATTTAAGCTATCATAATATTTGAAAAATTCCATCTCCATAAGCATTGCATAGTTTGGTCGAGCTTCTGTTTCTTTCACAAGGCTTAAAATTATCCATTATAATTGATTAAAAAAAAAAAAAGGTTGGTAATTTATTTTCTATAAAACTTAAAAGATGATAATAATTTCAAAAATTAGAAATATCTTACCACGAATTGATAAATTGAACAGTTCTAATTGAGTACACATCTGATGGACCCATTATTGGTGCATCACCGTAAACAACTTGTTGAAGTTGTACAAAAAGTTCATTTTCATTAAATCTTGGATATGGAAAGACACCAAGAGCCACTTCTTGCTGTAAAAGAGAAAACAAAACAATAAAGTAAGTGATAAATTGTTGTTTTATTGTTATCAGTTAAAATGAATGAAAACATTGATAATCTAAATTAATGATTGAAATAAAAAGATCATTTAATCTTATTCACTTCGATAAGTTAATTAATGCTCAATAATTTTTGATAAATTAATAAAAAAGGATTGAATTTCTTATCATGATAAGAATAAATTAGTTTTACCAGTGTAATTCCAAGGCTCCAAACATCAGAACGTATATCGTATGCAGCATTTGTAAGCAATCTTTCAGGCTACAATTAATATAATTAGCTAATTAATAGTATTATAATAGAAATTCGATGAGAAAAATTTATTAAACTTTAATTTTAGAAAACAAACTATTATTTTCATAGTAATAATGTTTATGATTGCAAAATTTTTCATTAATATATAAAATATTTATGAAAAGGATGAAAGCTAACAGCCATATATGGTCGACATCCTGCTTCACGTGTTTGCGCCACTGAATTTATTAAATAACCGGATATTCCAAAATCACAAAGCTTGATATTACCTCGTAGATCCAGTAAGATATTGGATGGTTTTACATGTAAAATATGATATACTAATTTTCACGTAGTTGTAGAAAAAATTTGATATAAAATTTATTTTAATTTATTTGGCAAAATTCTATAATTCTTTCTTTTGTGATAGTTATATTCTTCATTAATCGACATCTATTCGTACGAGAATTTAGCACTGATCATCAATATTTTCCTACCTATTGTTACGAATACAAATTCCTGAAACGTCATTACAATTTGTTAAAATATAAAATTAAGACCAATTAGCATCCTAAATTCCCTCAATTATATGATTATCAAAAATTGTTCATATATAATTTTTGATATAAATAAATATCCGAAAAAAAAAATGTACTAAAAGTATAAAAATAATTTTAATATAGGAAGTTCGAAAAATTCAAATTCACACCTCGATGGATAATTTTAATTTCATTTTTCAGATGATTTAATGCTTTAAGAATCTGAAATAATACAATTCAACATATACTATAGTAAAATAATTTGTAAAACAGAGAGAGAGAGAGAGAGAGAGAGAGAGAGAAAAGAAAGGAATGAATCATTAGAAAGTATTCTTTACTTTATTCTAATATTTAATAATATTTCTGCTTAATTAAGCAGAAATATTACTTATCTGTCATTTTAATAAGAAAGAATTTTCCATATGTTATATTATATAAATAACATATGAATTAATGTTTTACTATATATCATTTTTTTACCAAATGGTAATTAGTATATGGTTAATTAATTGGCTGACTAATTAAAAGTATAAGCTAAATTTTTGAATAATTAACTAAGAAGAATACAATAATATACCGATACTGCGACATGTCCAAGGATACGTTCATCAAAAACGCCATGAGTATGATTATGTATGGTTTTATACAAATTTTCCAACGATATATCCATTAATTCCATACAAACTAAACAATCTCCCTAAAATAATAGCTGCCTTTTAGATGTGAAACTTTCGACGAAAAGATATTATTTAATAAAAGTAGCAACCTGGAAAAAAAGGGGAAAATATAATTCTGGACTAGTTTATTCCGGTTAAAACTTTTTTTTAACAAATTTCCTCCTTTTGCATTATTTAAAGCTTAACATTCCGGTAACGTTTAATAATGATTGAAAATTAACATTTATAATTCGCAACATAAATTAACCTCATGGAAGGTAAGGCCATAGAATGTTACAACTTGAGGACAGTCTGAAGCTTTTTTAATCGCATCAACTTCTTGTCTTAGGCGTTTCATGGAACGATTGGCTTCGCCATCATCATTTTTGTCCGAAATTATGCGAACTTTCTGGAAAGAAAAAAGTACTGTAAAAAGAAAATTTCACAGTTTTAATCAATTAGTTAAATGAACTTTTCAAATTCAATTAAAGTATTGTTTGTTAATTAGAGAATACTTCTCGAATTACTTCAATTAAAATTGACCATTCGCCAACAGTAAAATCCTTACTTTAACTCCCATATATCGACCCGTTTCATTGTGCCTCATCTTATTCACTCGACCGTAAGCACCCTCACCGATCGATCCAAGATCTGTCAAATCCTGTAACACAGTTCCTCGATAAACACGGTATCCAATAATTTTTGAAATTCATAAATGCTTAGTTTTTTGAAAACTGAAATATACAGCAGTTTAACAGTTATACATGTATTTGGTACCGATTTGTAGCAAGTAATCGATCTTACGACAAAACTTACATATATTCTTATGCAGGGTCAAAAATAAATATCCTAGAACCGGAATCAAGAAAAACACTTCCCAAAGAAATTTCTGTCTAATATATGGTTAAATTTTTCATATGAAAAATTCAGGCCCATCTATATTTTGTAGCAAGAAAAGAAGTAATACCTCATAACCGAAACAGTATTCTTTTGGTTCTTCTGGAAATCGTAACCTACCAGAAATAAACATTCGGATGAAACCCCTGTAAAATACTGTTGTTTAATTTTCAAATGTATTATGTTTTACAGGCGCAACTAAGATTGTCTTTTATCCGGAATAGGATCGATTTCTAAAAACTGACAATATCCATACATTCCTTAGCACTCTCAGGTTTGTCCGTTTAAGTGTGAAGGATAGGCAAAAGAAACGTTCTTACATATGTGAAATTTTCTCGACATCCTTAGCTCCATCGGGAACCATTTGAGCATCACCTAATTCCATCTCCTCAGTTAATTCATCTTTTGCGGTATGCTTTCCCGTAAACATAGTCTGGAAGAAATTTTGTTTCGTTGACAAATTTTAGAACAGATTATCGGAAAATTACTGAGAGAAATACTTCTGGAATATGATGGTGGTTCAGTTTCGGCTTGGGGGTAAAAGTGCTTTAGCTTATGATGAAACAGTTCAAGCGGATTTAGTTTCAAGTTTGTAAACTTCATGCGATTAATTCAAGGTGTAATAGTTTAAAAGAGATAGTTTGATTTAGAAAAGCATTGTTGAAAAGATTTATTTAATTCAAGATGACATATTATAAAGGTTTAGTTCAAGCTGACATAGTTCAATCGATTTAGCTCAAAATAGTTTAGTGAGTTTAATTCAATTAATTTAAGATTAAATTGTTTAAAATGCTTAGTTCGAGAGGCTAGAATTCAATAAAATTTTACTTTAAAATGATGTGTGAAGGGTTTAGTTCGAAATGATGTAGTTTAATGAGTTTAATTCAGAATGACACAGTTCAACGGGTTTAATTCAAAATGGCATAGTTTGATAGAGTTCAATTCAAGATTGAACTGTTTAAAATGCTCCTTAGTTCGAGATGTTATAGTTCATTAAAATTTGGTTGAAAATGACATAGTTTCAAAGATTTAGTTCACAATGGCACATTTCATTGAATTCAGTCCAAAATAGCATAGTTCACTGGGTTTAGTCCAATTCAAGATTTTATTGTTTCAAATGCTTAGCTGGAAATGTTACAATTCAATAAAATCTAGTTCAACATGACATAGTGCAAGGGGCCTAGCTCAAGGCGATGTAATTTAATAGGTTTAGTTCAAAGAAATATAGTTCATTAGTCCAGTTCAAAATGGCACAGTTCAATAGTTTTAATCGAAGATTGGAGTGTTTAAAATGCTTAGTTCAAGATGTCACAGTGTAAAGGATTTAGTTCAAAATGGCACAGCTTAATCGGTTTAGTTCAATTCAAATTGTGTTGTTTAAAATGCTTGGTTCGTGATGTTATAGTTCAATAAAATCTAGTTCAACACGACATAGTGTAAAGAGCTTAGTTCAATAATCTTAGTTCAAAACGGTATAGTTCAATAGATCTGGTTCAAAAGGGGTAATTAAATGAGTTTAGTTCAAAGTGATATAGTTCGACAGGCTTAGTTAAATACTGCATAGTTAATGAGTTTAATTTAGGATTGCATGCTTCAAAAAGCTTGATTTTAGGGCAATATAGTTCAACGAATTTAATTTAACATTGCATAGATCAAAATGCCAAGTTTAAAATGATATAGTTGCACAGGGTTTGGTCTAAAATGGCATAATTCAATGGTCAGTGAAATTTAATTCAAGATAGCACAATTCGAAGAGCTTGTCTAATTTACGAGGTGTAGCTCAGTGGCTTGAATTCAAAATGACAGAATTCAGTGGGGTTTAGCTCAAGACTGTTTAGTTTAAAGGGCCTAGTTCGAAGTAGTTTAACTTAATATAGCACAGTTCAAAGGGCATATTTAAAAATAGGAGGCAGAAAGTTTTTGTATTGGTAAAATCTAAATGATGTGTACAGTGACTTCCCGGGTAAATAGTTGATGTGAAGATTTGATGTGAAGATAGTGGTGGAAAAGGGAGTGGCAGGAGTTGATGAGATTTGGAAATATTCATGGTAGAGATTAGGAGAATTGAAAATACATTAGATATTTTAGAGGTACCATGTAACATTAAGATTTTTGGAGGCAGCATAATATTAGAGATTGAAAATGTTTGCTAGAATGTTAGAAATTACACGTATTATTTATTATAGCGATATTGATTTACCATACCGATAGGGAGAAACAAAAGTACAGCATATGGCTAAGGAGATAGCAGGAAACGAAAGAAGAAGTACTTTAGCAAGAGACTGATAAAGTGGGCAAGAGAACAGTGAAATGTACATTGTAACAATGTTCGGAAGACATTAATATCAACGAGGCATATGTATATATATATATATATGAATGGTAATTAGAACAATATTTAAATGTTCATACCTTTTTTAATTTGTACAGGTAACATTCATAAAGAAAGCAAACATATAGTTATAAATATGTCAAAAAAATTAAGAGGTTTTTTGAAAATTTTAATTATTTACTTTCAATGACAGTAATATTAATTTATAAGAATTTTTTAGAAGTTTTATTAAAACTATCCTAATCAGCATATTTTGGTTCCATAATTTAAATTATGCTGAATTAATTGAATCTACTAAATTCATTTAGTGACAGCTATATAAAACTAACCGAAGGAAATTAGTTTTCTTTAAAGAAAAAAAGACAAAATAAAATTGGAAGCAACTATAGCAAGTATTTTCCAGTTTAGCATTATGAAAGTAACTATGGCAAATACAAACAAAATTTAAATCTCTAGGCTATAAGCTACTCCAAAATAGGCTACTCCAAGAAGGAAAGCTTAATTCGTTTTTAAATTATTAGCCATTTTTAAAAGATGAAGTTTGTGTTATGGATGAAGAAATGAGGTTTAATCTTAGCTGTTTGTTGGTAAATACAATTTCTGCCGTCATTTTCAATCTCTTGCTAATTATATTTTCTTATTTCTTCCTAATCTTTTATTAACTTTGACTTTTCTTTGATAAGGTTGGTTATATTTCAAGTAAATGATCATGTAGATTTTTGTATCAAATTCTCTCATTATTTCATCAATCATCACAGATGATGAAAATAACGTATCAATTGATGATCGTTAGAGAGTAGCATAACTGGATGGAAATGTAGATTGTATTCTGTCGGTGAAAGAGATGATGAAGTTGGTGAGTTGTAAAGCTGTTCATGGGTTCCTTATATTCGATTTCAATTTGGCACTCCCTCCACAAACATTTGTTGTAAATCAACCTCATCAACAAATTTTCCGATTAGCCTTAGAAATTTTTGCGCTCATTGAGTTCAAACCCGCAAGCTATGGATTAGTAGTTGTAAGGAAGGGAGAGAAGAAAATGAAGCAGTAGGAAGTGGATGATGAGAGATATAGGGTTGGAAAGAACGGGTCGATAAAAAGTGAAGTTGATGTTCGGTAAAGAAGAAGGATGATTTCGATGAGCGTGAGTGAGAGAGGCAAAATATCGAACAATAAACAAATATTGATCAGTGGAAACAACATCGTAACATTGGGAAATGTGATTAAGGGTAGCACGTAAGCGAAGATGAAGAAGAAGAAACTTCATCGTCATGCTAAAGTTAGTCATGGATCTCGTCGACCATACATCGATAATGACACATCAATCCAGGTGTTTCGTTGAATAATTTCGGATTTGTTGTTTCAGGCAATTCAGGAAAATACTTCCTCCCGAATAATTTTTTAATGATTTCAAATAGTTTTAAATTGCGTATGCTAACAATTCTAGAATGAATCGGTGAAACATGATGCCGAAGCAGCTGAAAAGAATACTGTTGAATTGAACGGAAAAATAGCTACCGAAATTGATACATCTGAAGATGGTGATAGCTCACGAAGAATTGACTTCTATCCGTTTGCGTACTCCCTTCATGATGAGCAGTTATCAAGCAGATGCTGGTATTGCCTTGCAAAGATTGACACTCTTAAGTAATAATTTCCGTTTTTTATTGTATACTTTTCGTCGCATTCTTTTATGATCTATAATCGTTTTTTTTTTTTTTTTCATGATGGAAAATATGTGTTAAGGTTGTAAACGTTCATCCATAAGGGATGATATTGAGTTCTTCTGATTCAGTGAGTTTATCTGATACAGATTTTATTGATAATACCATTATGGAGCCAACGTATAGCTATTATAAACTTTAAAAAGGTCACATTATAGGCGCTGTCATGCATGTCGTAAAGGAATGTTTTGTGGTCAGAAGTGCCAAACATTAGGATGGAAGGATCATCGATCGGAATGTAAAGCGTTCAAAACGTATGATGCGATGCCCAATATTGAAGTACGTTTGTTGGGCAGGATCGTTGCTCGTTATAAGGTTTGTTGCATGTCGGAATTTGTATTTTTACTTTATGAAGATTGAGAAATTGGGGAGAGGAAAAGGGATAATAGCCTGAATTTGTCGAAACTCTTGCAAGGATTTACAGTTAAGCACTTCTACATTTTCAAATATAACCGATAGTATGTTTAGGCAATTAAACTGGGAAAAGACAAGGAGGACAATAATTTTTACAAGGATCGTACATCCAAAAGATCCATTATGGATATTTGGTCCCATACGGATCTCATTAAACAGGATCCTCCTGCCATGAAGAAATTCAACGGTAAAAATTTATTGGTGAGAATGAAGAGGGAAATGGTGGGATTCTTGAAAGCTAGGGGTCCAGAATCCAAAGGCTTTGTTGGGCAGATCATGCTATCATATGTCAATCGCCAAATATTCGTATTTGCTAGAAAGAGTGATAGTAGGCATTTGTTCGTTTTTTGTTTCTAGCTTAAGTCTTGCATTTTTCAATGAATTTTGGATAATGAATATGAATACAATGCATGGATAAAAATAAAAGTGGAGGGCTCACGTATATACGCATAAAGACTCTCGAAACTAGCACAATTAGTTCGAAGTAATGAGTTTGATTTAAAGAGATTTATTCTGGTCTTCTTGCATTCTATGGATCGAAAGCAATGGTTAGTAAAGATGAAGTATTCGAGTTGCACTGCCGAAACTATATCAATCGCCACGCTATCAGCGACTGCGGTTACACTGAGGTAATTTATGATGTACAAGAATGGTTGTAAATAGGTAGCTGCTGATCATCACGCCTTGTCTAATCATGAAATGCAGCTGCCTGATGCTAAGGACGGGATTTCCGGTCAGGCAAGGATATGCATGGGCTTCTCAGAAAGGCTCGAAGTTCCATCTGTAAGACCATTCTTTTTATCCACAACTGCAGAGGCTACTGATGGTATGCATGTACGCCTTGATTCAGGTTATGGTAATGTTCCTATATTTGTTTGGAGCTTCTAGTAGTATGTTACTTTGCACATCAGTCAGTGCCTGGACTGTCCTCCCTGCATTTCGTGATATGTCCTGATTGCAAAAAAAACTTTATGAAAATTGAAATTTATGATAAAAATTAAGATTTGGAATTCGAAAACTGATTTTTAGAAACGTTTCTTTCTATTAATGAAATTTTCAGGAAATCGGAAAAGGTTTATATTTGGACTTATGTGCTTATGATCATAGTTGTCGTCCAAATACAATATATACTTGTAACGGTTTTGTTGCAACATTAAGGGGCCTTACTCCTAGCGTTGACTTACGAAATCTCAATTCAACTTATTACTCGTACATAGATTTAATCAAGTAAGTGTATTTTTTGTTTTTAAATTAAGTCAGTTGAGATTATTACTGTGAAGGTAGTGTTATTTTTTAAGAAGACTGGCTATTTACAGTTGCATTTTGGTTTTTTTCAAATTTCAGTGTCTTTGAAATTTTTTGTGTTGTCACTTGATTTCTTTAATTACTGTTGTAGTACGACGCAACAAAGACGCAAACTATTGAAGGATACGTGGTACTTTGAATGTCATTGCACACGTTGTGATGATCCGAATGATTCTCTCCTATCATCTATTCTGTGTCCAAATTGTCCGGTAAATTGATTTTTTATCCCAGTTCTCGCATTGTTACAACTAACTCGTGCAAAATGTTTTTATTTTTTTAATTTTCAGTGACTGCCTTAGAAAATGAATTTTTGAATTTGAAATATTTTGCTCTTTATACTTTTCTATTATTAATATAAACTATTAATGCATTTACAGTGGATAAATTTGCACATTTTCACGCTTTATGCAATGTAGTATATTTGCATTAAATTTCCATCCATTTTATGAATTGTTCTGAACCGTGTATTCAGCTTGGACGTACATCATAAATCATATTATAGCTCGATGACAGTTGCAGGAGAAACGGGAATATTTATGCATATTTGGTGATGTACCTTACAAAGATCGGAATACTCAAATAATAACCTGTCCGAAATGCCATAATAAAGTATGTCCGGAGTATGTTGTTGAAGCGATAGCAGCTATGCGTTTTATCGATAAAATTGTTGAAAATCGTGAAGTTGAGCAGGTTCATTTTTATTTTATGGAAGAAATGATATCCATTTGATAATTACACTAGAGAATTTTATGAAAATTGACGGCAAAAATTAGGTAAATATTGTTGTAGTCTAAAGCTTTAATAAACCAAGTTTTGTATTATTATGCTGACACATATGTCAACATATGCACATTTTCAGACTTTTTCATACACAGTGACTTGTAAGATTTTGTATTCCCACCATGTTCAGTAAAACTACCTATTCACAAGCTCAATAGAACACCTTTAGCAGAACCATCCATAGAAATGACGGACTTATTCACACAAGTTAAACAAATATATTTCTTTGGTTTATTTGATTCATGTCTCAATAGATCTTAGCTGTAAACAATGATCTGTGCTGGTTTATATCAATTAAATATTTTTTGTAGTTAGTAATAAATAAACTGTTATTCCCTTGCTTTCAGATGTCACGTGAGCAAAGCATTAGATTTCTGACCGATCTGAAAAAACGTTTTAGCGAGTTATTATCGAAAATAAATGTATTTCTATGCAAAATCATCCAGGTATGTTTACTCTTTTTAATGCACCTTCAAGAAATGGTTATCATTTGTTTAGTATGGCTTTATCAAAAGTTTCAGAAAAATGGAGTTTGGCAATTAATATCCAGTTTGCTTATTCTTATATTTTTGTCATTCTATTTTCTCTTTTTTAAAGTATCTGAAATCAGTAATGCCAGTTCAACCAGTTTTAGCTACTAATTCCACTGATTGATGTATCAAACTATCAACAGTTACTGGATTTGCATTTGGAAGCGGAAGAATGCGTCCGCTTTTGTTTCCCATACAATCATCCTGCTGTTGGCATTCATTATCGCAGCATTGCTACTTTCTACCTGAAGTAAGTGACTTAGAATTTAGCTCAATCATTCGTTTTCGGTATTTTTTTGCACGTTCTTCAAGCAAAGTAGATCAGAAATTTGAAAGAGAATTTCAGGTGTAAACAACCGCATCGAGCTTTGTTTTACTGTAAAAAGGCGTGTGAGATCATAAGATTTACATTGGGACAGAAGCATCTAATGACAATCGAGACGGACGCCATATTTAATGATGCATCACGTGAGGTTCAAGAAGCGAAAAAATTTATCTTCGGTGAAAAGCTTGGCAGTAACGCACTTTGGGGTAGGCATTTGTAATAATATCTTTACTACTTTTTGATCTGTTTAATAAGTTTGGTTATCGTTAATGACAAGGTGAGTTCTGTTTTGAAGATTGGTGTGTGGTGTTGTTTAATAAACAAGGAACAAGAACATCGCAAAAACATATTATTTAAATAAAAACACGAAAAGAAATTGGAATGGTGTTCAGTGATCTAATCTATAAGTTCCACTGACCTATAGTAGAGGGTAGAGGTGGAGAAGCACTGGGGAAAAGGAGATGAGGGAAAGAAGGATTGGAAGTTCCACTATGTTTCTTTAAATGTTTTCTTGAATTTCAGAAGTCGATGCAAATGTAAAAGGGAACTGTAATGGAGCAGAACAGTGTTCAGTGAACGATAATGTTGTAGGAGAACTTTAATCTGACACAATTTAATGGAGAGATTAATTCTTCTTGACGTTACAATACAATTATGGGAAAGTATAATATTTGAGTCGATTACTTGGCTATTGTTCTTTGCCTTTGATTTGAAGAATGGTTGATTCTATTGGTCAAGGTATTGGTTAAGTAAGATGTTGATAGTGAGATGAGACTGAACAACTGACTGCTGACCAGTTGACCAATTGGTTCCCTAAGTCCTGGGTAACTGGCCACGGTAGCAATTAAGACGTTATGTGTTTCCTATCGGGTTGGGCGGTACAGTATTGATCATAGTAATTTTGACAATCAGTCATTTATAGGCAAAATAATGGTGCAAATCAAAGATCGTTTGATAGACAAACTAATGTTGTGCACAAAAGTCATTCGGTCATTTGATTAAAAAAAACGATGAAAGGGAATCATATGGGCATTTGATATATGTCCTTTATAATGTTCTTGGAATCTTATATCAAATGAATAACCCAGAAATATCTTATATTCTGGCCAAAACAATTTCATTGACATAAATCTTAATAATACAGAATGATTTTATAATACAATTTTATATTATAAAGTGATTTCGGGTTTCTGACAAATGTTGTAGGAAACAGTTTATGACACAAAATATTGATGCGTTAGAAGACGATTCTTTCATTTCTGATTATTATATGATTTGTTTGCTTCAATTTTGATTTCATTGTAAATATATGAAGTTCGAAATTAATGACGACTATCTTGCTCATATTTCTCAGTATTGCTTGTCAAATTTTGAGTAATAGAAGAACTGGCAAACGACATCATGGTGTACTTCCTAGTTGCTTATCACTTATTTCTTGTTTTAACGAAGCTCAGAAAATATTTTGTTGCATTTTATCAATCAGCATTATAAATTTTTATGAGAGTCGATAGTTGTTTGCTTTCAACGGGATTAATTATTGTTTGTTGAAGTGTAGCGTAAATTCTTTAAGAGTTGCCATATTTCATTACGTTGTACGTTGGATTCCAGGATACTGGATTTCTTTCTATGACGTGAATTTGAGATAACTGGTAAAGCAGCCACTTTTTTTCGATCTAGCGAATTGGCTTCATTGTTTTAAAATGTATGAAATGAAATTTAATCCTCGTCAAAAATGACGAACTTTTTCTTTTTCTAAGTTTTTCTAGGATGTGTTTTTTTAATATAATTTGCGCATAGTTTCTTACTTTTGCATCCTTCCAGACTCTTAACTAGATCTTATTTCGTATTATCTTCCAAATCAAATGGTTGCGATAATTTGTCCGAATCAAAAGATTTACAATTTTTTTTCGGAATGGTTGTTTGGGATTAGAATATTTAACATTTACCGTGGGGAACATTTTCTTCATTTTATCACTTCAGCTTCATTGTGAAAAGATGACTGACACTTCTGTCAATCTTTTCCTACTGAATTATTGGACTTCTGGTTTATGGCCGAATATGTGATGCGATATATTGAATGCTTCGCATATCTTTCATGTATCTCGATTCCGTATCACTTTCATTACTGAAGTTTTTATTGCCTAATTACCTCGACTAGGATATCGGAGGGTAATCGTTGATGCAAGTAATGAGATTGATGTCGAGTATTCGGATCTTGGGCAGGTATTCCATAAATTTGGTAAATATGATTTCAACCATTCTGTAATTCATTTTAATTTGGAATATTTAGTACTGAACTGACGATATTTATGCTCCCCACATATTAATTTATCCCTAAATCAAGTCTGGACATAAGGGATTCCGGCGACTCCGGTATGGGCAGGGTGAGAGCCAGAAATTGAAGCACGTGACAAGCGATCGAAAATGTTCGAGCAAGAGGATGCGGAGAGATGCCATTATTTGGATGACTATAATAACGTTATCCTGGATCACCTCTAACCTAATTAAGATGAAACATCTCGAATAACTCGACTTATGATTATAATAATAAATTAGTCTACCTAATCAATGAAACCAAGTGGTTTTATAGGTAACGGTCTCACTCTATATCTTAATGCTCACTAATTCTGTTTGCATTTACCGTAGAAAAAATTTCGAATTTTCGAAAAGACTTTTAAATTCTTTGAAATTAAAGATAAATAAGGGAAAGAAGTATGATTAGCGTCTTCCAATCATAGAATTTATTTATGATTTTGATCAGATCAGAGGTATCGATCGTATCAATGTTTATTTACTCTTGTGCAACAATTTCAATCTTGATTTAAATAAATAAACTGTATCAGAGAGAGTGATAAGTATTATCTTTAATCTGAAAACTTTATAATTAGTAGATATATTAATTGCTATCTAGAGACACGATAACCTGTAACAAGTATAATTGATAAATTTCAAAAATGAAGATAAAAAACAATACGACAAATATGTTACGGAGGATTTCGTTAGGAGGATAAATGAAGCGGAGGGGGAACAAGGGAAAACAAAAACGATGATTAAATATATTAATACAGAAAAGGGTACCGGTAAGAATAAAAGTTTGGATAAGAAAAAAAAAACGTTTCTTTAAATTATTTCTAAAACAGCAAATGTATAAAACAGGTACACACACACACACACACACGCACACACACACATACACATACACACACACACACACACATACATACACACATAGACACAGACAGAGACGCACACATAAAATGTTCGAAGGAAATAAATTATAAAGCAAGCAGTGAAAATCAAAAATTATATCAAATTCATTTTATCATGTAAAACTAATTAATAATCATTAGTAATCATAGGTAAGAAAAAAAAGCTGTCAATTAAAAAAAAAATTACATTCATAAAAGTTCGTTTTTTGTCAACAGAATTAATTATTCAAAGGGAAACAAAAAAGAATAATTATACTAGTAATAATAATATACTGAGAAGGTAAAAGATAGATTTTTTCATAATGCATTTCATTAATATTTGAATTTTTCTCTATCAATAATTCATTTTAATTACTTTCAAATAATTCATTTGTAAAAATTCAAATTTTAATGAACAAAAAAAGGAACATGACAATTTGAATTTTTTTAAAAAACAAAAATCACATAAAGCGAAGAAAGTTATGTATGGGTGGTACATAGTCATCCGATCGACCGCTGTGATACACAGCAATCAATTGTTCAATTGGTTCACCTTCCATATCTTGTGTGCGATAAGTTGCATCAAGCGGGCCATCGTAAGCATCTG